TTGGTTTCATGCACCCTGATACTTTCCTGCATCTCATTTAGCGCAGTATCAACTTCTTTGGTGTGGACAGATCTGCTCCAAACGGGGCATGCATATTCAGCAGTTGAGAAACACAGTGCCTGTGCCGTTGTTCTTAAAACGCCAGGACGTGCGCCCCATTTACTTCCCGTTAGCTTTCTGGGTATGCTGTTCCTAGTTGTTACTTTCCCTCTTGTTTTTATGCAATGTTGTCTGTAGGTGAGAGACCGGTCCAGAGTTACTCCAAGATATATAGGTTGGTTTGTGTGTTCTAATGTATTACCATTCCACACAATTTGGAGTTTTCGCTTGGCTTCCTTTGTGCGAAGGTGGAAAGCGCAGACTTGGGTTTTGAGGGATTGGGTCTCAGAGAATTCTGCAGGTAGTACGCTGTCATTGTTTTTAAGGCAGTTTCGAGTTTCTCCTCCACTTCTTCAAAACTATTTCCTTGAGCACATATTGCAAGATCGTCAGCATAGAGGAAGTGCTTGGTTTCGGTCGGAGTAGGTTGGTCGTTTGTGTATATATTGAAGAGCATTGGTGCTAAAACACTTCCCTGTGGGAGGCCGTTTTTTTGAACTCTCCACCTACTTACTTTACCCTCCAGCATAACGAAAAAACGTCTATTTTGCAGTAAGGAATATACGACCTTTCCCAGATGGTGGTCATTGAGAGTATCGTATAATTTGCGGAGCAATGTTTTGTGCCTTACTGTGTCATAGGCTGCTGTCAGATCTACAAACGCAGCCCCTGTTATAAGTTTTTCTTCAAAGCCCTCTTCAATGTGTTCTGTTAATACGAGGACTTGACCGGTGCAATATTTGCCAGGTCTGAATCCTCCTTGTTGTGGGATGAGGTGCTTGTCGACATTTTTTTCTATTCTGGCGAGTATGAGTCTCTCGTATAGTTTAAAAAAGTGACACAATAGCGAAATAGGTCTGTAGCTACTGGGGTCTTCTGGATCCTTTCCTGGTTTTAATAAGGCTATTACTTTAGATTTCCTCTATGATTTTGGAATTTTGCAGGTTTTGCAGCACGTGTTATAAAATTGCAAGATCCAGTTTTTTGCTCCTTGGCCTAAATGCTTTATTTGTTCACTGCATATATCATCCACACCTACAGCTTTCCCGTTTTTTAACCTGTTCAGACCATCGTGGAGTTCTTTTAGTGTAAAAGGAGTTCCTAGGTGGTTTGTCTCCGAATCCAATCTTCTCCTAGTGTTTGGGCCCTTATATCGGTTAGTAGTTCTTTCATTCGTAAGGAGTTGAGTAGCGACTTGGTTTGCTGTAACCTTGCAAGGTGATTTATGTTCTTTTGGATCACCGCTGAGTTTTTTTAGAAGATTCCATGCTATTTTGCTACTATGTGTCATGTCCATTTTTTCCAGGGTCTCAATCCACTTTTCCTGTCTGGCTTGACTTAGCTGTTGGAGTAGTACTGCTCCGCAGTCAACCGTTTCTTGGCTAAAAGGGTCAGTGGAATAGAGGGTTTCGTATGTTCTCATTAGTTCTTTGGACTCGCTGGACATCCCGGGAACGTATTGTTGTCTACATCCTCTAGGGATAGTTTTTCTAGACACATTTTTGAGTACCTCTACGAATTTTTCGTAGTTCTCTACTTTTGGTTCAAGGCGTAGTAGTTCAAAATCTAGCATGTCTGCATACTTTTGCCAGTTTGCCTTTTTGAAGTTAAATCTCCTTCTGAATGGAATAGCTTGTGGTCTGACAATTGGGAAGATAATTATACCAATTGGTCTATGCTGAGTTTTTGGTATGGGGCCATATACTACTTTGGTACATCGGTCTTCGAGGTTGTTGCTTGAAAAACAGATATCCGGGTTATATCCTCTTTTCCAAACTTTGCTATGAAAAGATGGTGGAAGTTTAGGATCATGGATTAACGTGAGGCCTCTCGTTTCGGCCCATGCTTCTACTGCGTCTCCATTTGCGTCCGAATTTGCATAACCCTAGAGTAAACTGTGACTGGTAAAGTCTCCCAGTACAAGCTGATTGGCTTGTGATTGAAAATTAGTTGGGGGTGAAAATATAAAAGGCTGGTTTGGGGGCTTGTATACCGAGGTTATTGTGCATTTTCCGATCTCAGTGGTTATTATCTCTATACCGTGTACATTTGTTGTTTCCACAGATGAGACTATGGTTTGAGTTCTCACAAATACCTTGCTCCCATGCTTATTGTGTGGTATCTCCGCAATCAGTTTCATACCAGAGACTTTCGGTCTTGCTGCAGGTAGGTCTCTGTGGGTTTCCTGGATGCACAATACCTCACATTTCGTGTTGATGCAGAATTCTGATAAGATGTCTTGTTTGGCTGTAGTGATGCCCTCGATATTTATGCTCGCTACTGTCAGTGTTGGCTCTGAGAAGAACCGTTGTGGCTTGATCTTTGCCATCGGATTTGGTATGGTCCGGTGTTGGAAGGATTAGCCGTCTACTAGTAGACGTTTCCAGGGGACGCCGTCAATAGTGTTTTGCACTTGATGTAGCACTATTGATCTCGTGGAGGCTCCTTCCTTGTCCCCCATTGATATTTCCGCTAGGTACTAGGTTTGTTATAATTTTGTTTATTTTAAGAAAATATTTATTTTAAGACCCACACAACTGAGCAAACATTGGTGGCACACGCCAACTGAAGTTCATGTAGCATTGTACATATCTCCTTAAGGTTGTCCGAGAACAAAACTATTCAGGCCTTTCTCTTCCCAATTTTTTACAAGCATATTCTAGTACTGCGGTAAATACTTCAGGCGATACGGTATCACCCTGTCGGACTCCTCTGCCGATTGGGATCCGTCTTTTCATGTAGTTTCACTGACATAGTTGCGTTTTTGTATGTATTGTAAATTAACCTTGTATATCGATAGTCAATGCGGCATGCTTGTAGTGTTTCCAGGATTTTGTTTAATGCTACCGTGTTCAAGGCTTTATGGAAATCTACAGGGGCCTGTTTTGTTGCTCTGTACGTAATCATTTGTTACAAATTCGGTAAGAAATCCCGCTGGCTCTATTGGCTGGTAAAAATTAAGTTTTTTCTCAAGATGATTCGTATCATTCGTGTAAGGAGTTTGTATAGATTACTAAGAAGACTTATAATGTCTGTAGTTTTCTTATTTATGGAGATCTCCTTTAATAGAATTACCTTAGCATTGTACTATTTGTTCAGTATATTACTGTCCAGAAGGCACATGTTTAAAAGGATTTTAATTTTTTCAAGTAGGCAAGTGTCTCCGATTTTGATTTCATCAGTAACTACACAATATTCGCCTGATGATTGATAGTTTTTCTTAGGACTAGTTTTATTTCATCCATTGTGATTTTCATTAGTAGTGCTTATCCTTAGTTGATAATGCCCTTTTTCCTTGTTACATAATGATAATGCCCTTGCAATATGTTCTAATATTATAAGGGTTTCCTCCCAGTATCCATTTCTATCTTTAATTTTTATTATCTGCTTATCCCCGTTCTTAGTCTATTTCTCAATACTTTCATACTTCTATTGCTCTCAATGATATGTTCGATTTGTTTTTGGTTGTATTTTCGAGTGTCTTGTCTAACAGCTTAGAATATTTCTTTATTAAATTTTTTTAGCTTGTCTGCTTTAGTTTCTGTCCCGTTTCTCATTTTTCTTCTTTTCTGCATTAGTTGCCTAGTATTTTGGCTAATCTTCTCTTCTTTTTGAGTTCGAGGACAGACATTGTTTTGACTTTCTAGTAAAGCATTTGTTAGTTTATTATTTAAGTCGTTTATATTATTATCTGTTTTGGGACTACCAAGTGTGTCGGAAAACTACCTACATCTGATGGTTTCATCCATGGTTTTGATTTATTCTTTTTTTAATCATATTATACCTCTCCTTTAAGCTTATTTCTATTTTACCGAGTACCATTCTATGATCACTACTGGTAACATATCTGTTTAGAAGCGTGATAACGATGTGCTTTTGGTCCTTGATAATAAAATCTATTTCATTTTGAGAATAGTTTATGTTGCAGCATGAACCTTAACAGTAATTCGCTAAGTTCATTTCCACCATCCAAGCTAAAGTTTCCCAGTGTTGTTTCTGTAGAGATAGATTTCATTCCTGTTTTGGCGTTAAAATAACCACATATAAAAGTAAAATGTCGTTGATGGTCTTTAAGAGCAACTTTAATATCATCATAGAATAGATCCACTTCTTCTTCATTATGGTCTGTTGTTGGCGCATAAACCTGTAATATTTTTATATTATACCTTGTATTCGATTTGAGAGTACAATAAATCCCTCTTGTGGAAAATTTTTTTTAGTGATACCATACTTATTTGGAGACGCTTGTGTGTAATGAAGCCGGTTCCCCCCAATGAATTATTGTCGTCACCTACGTGGTAAAAACTATGTCCTCATTTTAGTTTAATTAAGTGTTTGTCACGTCTTCTGACTTCGCTGAGACCGACTATGTCCCACTTTATATTTTCTAGTTCGCACTAAAGTTCAGTAAGTCTTTCATCAGACAGTAGCAAACGTGCATTATATGTTCCTATATTAAAAAGTGTCGTCTTATTCGGGTAACTTTCGGGTTTCAGTCGCCCATTCTAGGTCCGACGCTGTTTGCGGCAGCACACTCTGGATCAGACACCAGGGATTGTGATCTTATAACATCCCTTAAATCAAGGCTTGCTAACCTTACCAACTTGTGGACTTGATCCATGACCCCAGACAAGGGACTCTTAGCAGGTGCTAGCTGCCCGGGTCAAGAAGCTGCTGGAATCTGCGGAGGGCAGGAATTGATTCACTTTTCCTGATAGGACTACCCAATAGAATGCATAGGACTTCAAAGGAGTTCCTACTCGCTACCAGCAGAGTATAACTAACAATAACAAAGAAAATCTTAGAACAACAGAGATGAAAGCACTGATGGCGATAGCAGGTAAAACTTTGACAGAATCGCCAATACACAAACCAGAGGCATGATTTATGAACAGTACATGATGTCGTCAGATGGGGACGCCAAAGAAGAAGAGAATGAAACCAACACAATAACAGAATGGGAAGAGAGAAAGAGAGAAACATGCCTGAGATGGAAAACCAGAAGGTAACAGATCACAAACCGACCCTACAAAAGATGGAGAAATATCTGGCAGTCAACATCGTAAATACTGCTAAATCAGACCGCAAAGGCCTTAATGCCTCTTAGGAAAAACAAAGAAAAAGAAAAAGAGGTTACAAGAAACTTTATCTTATGTTATCGTTTTCTGTGTTAGGCCTTGCAATTATTTAATAACTGTTTATTTCTTTCACATTTTAGCCACTAATTTGTTATTTGCTGTTAATCTCACAGTTTTTGAGTTTTTAATTTTGTGAGCAGTTCCTCAATATTTCGTTGTAAGATATATTTCGGACGTTGTATTTTTGTTTCTATTAAGACATTATATGCGATTTCTGTTTTAACAAGTTTGTCTTCTACCTCTTTAATGTGGCTTATTTCTCCTAGCTTTAGGAGTCGTTAAATTGTCGTTAAATTGTCGTTAAATTGCTATGTTGTTTTAAAAATCTTTTTATTCTTCTTTTTGTGTAGACATGACTCTGTCTGGTTTTCAATGTGCCTCCAGTATGTTGTCGTTCTATCGTTTTCGTGGTCTACCCACTGATCGTCTTCCTATTGATGAACAGTATTTTGCCGAACAGTGGCTTCCCACGATCGGCGATTCTACAGATCATCGCGGTAGCCGATCAGCACGGACGAGAACGCACCGCAGACAGAGCTCTTCCTACGGTCCGTGACAGTCTGTGTAGGTCCGTGACAGTATTGTTTGATTATATCATAAAAAGGCCATTCAGGCTTGTAAACATTAAATTCGGATTAAATTATTTCTCTTCTTTTTTAATTCTTTAATCGAAATAGTACTATTCTTCAATTGATTTTTTATTCGGTTCCATACATCGTTTCATTTTGATTTTGATACAAATTTTAAAAATCAAAAATAACTTCGTTTGTTCATTCCATTTTTTACCAAAAACTGCAAAACAACTTTGACAACACCACAGACAACTACTCGTATGTTGTCAGCGAATGAGAAACTTCTGACTTGCACTTGTCTGTTAAAACACAGACGCGCTAGGATCGCGCTGCACGAGCATGTACCGCACCTTTGCTGTTACCGACTCTAGATGGATAGGACGGACCAGCACAGACGTGCCTGCGCTACCACGGACGAGACCCTTCCCACGGTGCGTGGTGCGTGCTTGTCCGCTTACGTCCGTAATATCGTCGACCGTGGGAAGCCACTATTACTCTATTTGTTGTTATTGGGCGTATATTCTGCATATTTGTTTTTATTAAGAATATTTCTTTGTTCTCTTTTTTTCCTATTAATTTGTGGGTTTTGGTTCCTATTTTTTATACATCTCGGTAAGTTTATGTGATTCTTAATTCTTTATTGTTTAAAAATGTTGGTTTCTTATTCATACATTTTTAATCTACTTTCTTGGTGGATTAAGTCGGTATTAATTTTATGAATTTGTCATTGTTATCTTTTATTTTAGTTTATCATACTTTACAAGAAACTTGTATGTTTTGTTCTAGCGTATTCCTTTATAGTTATTCTATTATAAAATAACTTTCTCTATAAAATAGCTCTTCAATTGAATTATTAATTATACACCAGATTAAACAATATTACTTTAACTGATCTCCAACATTTCATAAGCTGTTGATTCCCTGTTATGTATATTACGACCTTCGTTAAGCCCTTCCCCTTTTACCTATATATCGAAATATATTACAAGCGCAAAACCATCAAACGACCGCCATAAAAGCCGAATTATAATTACCAACTAATTCTCCAAACAATCAAAGGATTAATTAATTTTGTTTTGAAATTAATTACGTTGTAAAGGCCAATGCGGTAAGCAATTTGGGGACTGCATGTTTAAAAGCATTATTGGAACCTAAAGCTGGCATGGAGATGGTTTTTTTATATACACTCACCGGCAAAATTAACGGAACACCTTAAAATTGGGACATGTTAGATGTCTCGAATTTTCTAAACCTGTTGTCCGATTTTAGTGATTTTTTTAGTATGTTATAGGTATATTATTTAAGAATATCGAAGTAATAATATTGTTGCTAGACAGGTCAATGTCATTTTATACCGGGTGTAACAATCCTACTGCGTTTTTTCCTTAAAGTTCGGAACACCCTGTGGAATATTCTAGCATATATAAAATATTAAAATTAAAACTTAATTATGGCCTCAGGCTTTCTTAACATTTTCTTTTTTGATTCATTTGCTTATGTTTGATAGTAAAAAAGTTAGGTACGTTAACAATGAGCCATGTTTTTCATCAATAAATCCTCATTTTCTGCTTAGTTTAAAAACAAGCCTAAAGTAGGCTATGAGAAGTTAACAATTTAATGCACACACCGGCAAATTTAAAGAAACCTGTTATTAATGCAATATTTCTTTATATTTGTATTTTATAGACTATATCTACATAGCTTTGAAAGCTCCTTGTCACAAGAAAGTCTTAAATGTCAAAATATCAAATTAATTTGTTTATTGTATTATGTTTTACATTTTACAGTCATTCTGTCTCTTCATAACAAGTACAAACTTGTATTTAATTGAGCGCACAATAAAAAAGAGACTTAAAGAAGCCGGTCTCAAGTCATATGTGCCAATAAAAGCTCCCAGACTCCAGAGACACCATCGTTTAGCACGACTTCAATTTGTTCGAGTACATCAAAATTGGAATGATAACCACTGGAGTCAAATTCTCTTTACGGACGAGAGCCGTTTCTGTGTAAATTACATCGACGGTAGAGAAAGATTGTATTAACGCCAAGGAGAACGAAATGCCCCTTTCAATTTTACTACGACCGTACCTTTTGGTGGAGGTTCAATTATGGTGTGGGGCGGTATATGTTTGGGAGCAATAACAGAGTTAGTGGTGATTGATGGTGGAGCATTAACAGCAGATAAGTATATCAGAGATATTCTCCAAGACCATGTGGTACCTTTTTCACCATATATTGGAGAAAATTTTATTTTATAGTGTAAGAGTGTAAGTGTAAGATATTTCTTATTACAAGTGGGTATAACAACGATGAATTGGCCAGCTTGTTCCCCAGACCTAAACCCGATAGAGGATATGTGGGACATACTAGGCAGAAAACTTAGGGCACGGGTTCCTGCTATTCAAAACAGAAAAGAAGTCACAATTTCAAAAGATTGAGGAATAGGAGAGGCTGTCCAACAACTAATCGATAGCGTTATCAGAAGTATGAGAAGACGAATAACTGCAGTTGTAAGGGCTCGTAGGGGAAACACACGATATTAAAGCCAAAAAAATGCATAAAAAAACAATTTAAGTTCAAACGGTACAATAAAGTTAATGCATTTAAAATCCGTATTTTGTTGAGTCTGACATCTTTGTGTTTTATTTCTTCTTAAACAGGTTTTATATTGTACTACCATTGTAATATAAATTCAAAATACTTCACCAACATTCGTATTATGATATTATCTAAACAGTATATAATCTAGAGAGAAAATACTCAGATTTTATGGTTGTTCCTTTAAATATACTGGTGAAACTAAGAAGAAAATGAGCATTTATTGATGAAAAACATGGCTAGTTGGTAACATACCTAACTTTTTTATTATCCAACACAAGCAAATAATTTAAAAAAGAAAATGATAAGAAAGCCTGAGACTATAATTGAGCTTTAATTTCAATATTTTATATATGCTAGAATATTCCACAAGGTGTTTCGAACTTTAAGGAAAAAACACAGTATGATTGTTACACCCGGTATAAAATGACGTTGATCTGTCTAGCAACAATAATATTTCATTGACATTCTTAAATAATATACCTATAACATACTAAAAAAATCACTAAAATTGGACAACAGGTTTAGGAAATTCGAGTCATCTAACATGTCCCATTTTTAAGGTGTTCCGTTAATTTTGCCGGTGAGTGTATTGCAATTAAAAAGAACATAATGCCCAAAACAAAAACAGGCTAAAAGTCCCTATAAATTCACTGGTTTTTTATTAATTCTAACAGATTTTTTTATTTATTTTGTTGCAGATAATGTTCCTGATTAAATGAAGTGACATTGTTGCTGAAACATTACTGTAAATATCTTATGTGAAAATAAGCTACAAAATTATTGAAAATTTTTTGGATTAATAAATAAGTTAAAATAAAAATAAAGGACCGATAAATGAACTTAATCCTTAACCTTCCAGCGGTCGCGGCCTTTATACCAACAAGAATGGTCGCGCGTTTTTCCTAGATACGCTAAATGCTAATTAGTTATTTTAAGATGTAGGTAATAAAATATTGTAATATTTATACAAAATAAATTCGGTGAAAGATTAATAAAACAACTACAGAAAACCAGTTGTCAGTAGTCAGTGTTCTCCCCGTAGTAAATATAGGTGTTGCCAATCTTTTTACCACGTCTCATGGTTAGTTACTTATGGAGAATGGGCCATCTGGTTGAGTCCCTGCATAAAACCATGGCATACATTTTTATCCCATATTTATTGGGTTTTTAGGGATGTATTAAATAAAGGATGAATGAAGCATCTTTCACGAAATGCCTCTAGTTTCTCGTCAATTGCAACATTTTTTCTAACCGAGTAGCATTTTTGGCAATATGAAACAAACTCCTTAAAAATATTCCTTATTGGGGCCGAGCGATCTATTCTTTTACGTTCTACTCTCATAGCTATGTCATCAAAACGTAGTGCTCTTATTAAAAATAGAAATCTTCTCCAACTCATCACTGTTTTAAAATAGTCCATTCTTCATAGTTCTTTAAGGTTAACTCGATTACCATGGTAAATGCCCGCCAAATACAGCAAGCCTAAAAGGGCTGTTATTTCTAGTTTGTCTGTATCCCTGCCATCCCTTGGACGACTATAATTAGATCTTACAGAACCTATGCACTTATTTGTGAAGTTGACGATGCTCTCAATCATAGAATTAGTTATGAGGCACCCCCAAATATCAACGATGTCTGTGATTGCAGTAGTGTAATTTTTATAATGTGTGATTTTTTATTAGTTCTTTATGTAC